GATTTGGCCAAGCGCCACTTTATCGCGTACAAAGTGTATATCAACCTCGACATGCTTGGTGCGCTGATGTTGCACCGGATTTGAGGATAGGTAGGCAACACTAACATTGTCACAGAAGACGAGTGTGGCGCGACGGAGTGGTTGTTGCAGCTCAAGAAGAAGATTCCGGATCCAGCTAGTCTCTGCAACAGCATCGGCAACGACTCGTTATTCTCCCTCGGTGCTAGAACGAGAGGTGGTAGCCTGACGTTTGGAAGACCAGGAAACGAGGTTGTCGTCCAGAAAAACACAGTAACCTGAAGTGGAGCGTAGGGCCGCCAGCCCAATCAGCATCGGAGTAAGCCTGTAAATAATCGGTGGCGGATCGTGTCAGATGGATCCCGTGGGTGGCAGTGCCACTAAGATAGCAAAGAACTCGCTTCATGGCAGTAAGATGTGCATCGCGTGGTGCATGGATGTGTAGACAGAAGTCGCAGAACTGCCGAACTGCAATGACCACACCAGTTGAGATAGAAAATTCTTGAAAAGTTGGGCAAAGCCCTAGTTTACGGCGGTCAGACACTTTTTTTTAAGCAAGGGAAGAAAGGGGGGCAACTCTAATTTGATGACTTCTTGTTGCGGATGACAGTAAGAAATTTGGCAATCTGCAAATTTTGTAGCCGAGACCTGCAGCAAGGAGTTGGATCTGCCGCACCAATCTTTGTACGGCTAGGCTGCGATCTAACCTGCAAAAATATACTCTGTATATTGTTTTGAATGTAGAGTTTGCAGCAGGGTGGAAGGAGGTTCCGGTTGCGGCTGCGGCGGTGGAGGATTGCAGCGGCACACCTCTGCAAGTTTTCTGTTTGCCGCGGAGGTGGGGATTTTTTTTGGTTTTTCCTGGGTTTTTTTTGGTGAGTTCAATAATGAGAGCAACAATTGATATGAATGGCGTATCGGATAGGGAAGAAGTTTGAACGTTCTTCAAGCTCCAAGAAGAAGAGGGAGAAAAAGATGGAAAAGTTCGAACGTTACAATTCAATATGTAAAGAATACAAATAACCTGATTGACCTAATGGGCTCGGGCCCATACGAAAACCCTAAACCATCACTAAACAATAATAAATAACTACTAAATAATAATATAACTACACCTTGGTTCCCATTACATTAAGAACCAATGTCATGGGATGACCCAGGGGCGCTCTGGTGTCCCGTTCATAAAATTGACGGTTCCTTCCCTCTAAACCCCCGGTAAACCCCCCCACCTCGCCTCGCCCCGAACAAACCACCCAATCTCCTTCAATTGTACCCCACAAGTTGATTTTGACTTTGGAGTCAAATTTTGACTCCAAAGTCAAAATCGACTTGTGGGGTGCAATTGAAGGAGGTGGGGTGGTTTGTTCGGGGCGGGGGCTAAATAATTTTTAAAAAATAAAGTAACAAGTTAATATATTAGATATTTGATATAAAAACTATTATGAGTAATGAAAGAAAAATTAGTATATAAATATATTTTGTTTGATATTGCTACTATGTATGGAGTACAAAATATTATCTATTAAAATGTCATAATCAATGTATCATACGTTGCAAACAATACAAAGTAGTAAAGATGTATTAATTTTATTATACTCCGTATAAACTTATAGTTTATTTTTTTCTCTCCATAGAAGTATGTATGTTTGTTTATAATAATTTGAAATAGGTTTGTTTATTATTATTATTATTATTAATGTTGTTATTGTTATTTTATTATAATTATATTTAATAAATATTTTTATTTATTCGGGCCGGGTCGGCCCGTGCGCTTGAGCATAAACCCGAGTCCGACCCTAAAATCTTCGAGCTGATATTTATACTCCGTATTGCCCAAGCCCAGCCCGTACTGTAAAATGTCAAGCCCAAGTCCGCTATTTTGCGGGCGGGCCGGATACCCGGGGCCGTGATTGGGTCTATTCATAGGTATACTTTTGAAAAAATTTTACTCAGTATTTTTTTCGGGTTAGTTAATTGCATCTATTGGTTACTCTTTAGATTAGTACTCCGTATTTGCAATTTTTTCACGGGGTACTAAAAGGCAATTGATATCTACACTCACAATATATTAATAGCACTCACATTTCTCCATCTCTTTTTAAATTGACACCAATACCCTTTTCATTTTTTTTGGCTCTCTAATACAAGTGCTTTTTGAAATATTAAAAAAAAAGAGTGCATATTATGGGGTCACAAGAAATATTATACGGAGTATTCAAAAGAGTAAATTTCATTGTTCATAAGTATAGGTGGAATTTATATTTAGTCTATATTTCTAATATATTAAATAATTCTCAATTTTGGAATTTTTTTCATAATTAGTCAAATTCGACCTAAAAGACTACTTATAAATAGTTTTCAAAAATTGAAAAACTATTTATCTAATTCTACCTCTGTCTCTGAATATTTGTTCAGTTTTACAACTATTTCAATCTTTGACCTATAATTAAATAAAATATTTATTTTTTTAATAAATAATTAAATAAATAGTATGTTGCATTCTAAGAATAATTGTAATGATTTAAAATTATAGATTCACGATGAACCTCAAATAATTTGTACTCCGGGTAATTTTTATTCTGCAACAATTTTTCTTGCCGTGCAATGCACGAGTATGAATCTATTGAGTAAAAACTAAAATTATATTGTTGTTTAACAATAAAATTCAAAATTAATTTTCACAAAATATAAATATAGTGCGAATGTGATATAATTATTCTCCCTTTCAGAATATAAATTACATATGATAAGAATATATAATTTCAATTGGCCTAGTAAATGGAACACATCATAAAGTACTACAGAGTACTTAAAATTGTCATACTCTAAAATGGTAAGAATATGTTAACAAACAATATTTTCCAGATTAAACTTACTAAAAAAACGTATGTGCATATAAATCTGTGTGTGTCAATACATAAATAAGACATGTGTTATATAATTAAGCATTTAAATATTTTTGTAGGTATTTCCCATAAAAAATTAGTTTTAACTAATCATATCAATTAATTTTAAGATATACTCCGTACAAACCAATGTAAATATTATTTAAAAAATTTGAAACCAAAACCCTTTAATTTAAGTAGAATTTTGAAATAAAAAACAAAAATCAAAGAAAAAAATAACCATATAATTGGCTTAAATCCACTTTAGGGAAATGAAAGGCCATTTCTAAACAGTTCACACGGACAAAAAAAATTACGGAGTAGTTTACTTAAAAAAATTGCTTTGCTATTCTAAAGTTAATGCAAATCATCACACTAACATTATACTATCACAAAATGTCAGTGTATGCGTACAAAACTAGGTACAATTTTTGGAATTAAATCACTAGTAAAAAGTAAAAGGGGGAAAAATTGATCAAACAATCCATATTTATAAAGAACAAAATTAGAAGACCAAAGCCTAAGGATTCAAGAAATTCCACCCAGGCTTGTCCGGAGAACGGAGATATTGAAACTACAACTTCCTTCGTCTGGACTGAGTATGCGCAACGTGGCTTCAGAATTGGCGGCCAGATTTCATCAATTTCTATAAAATTAGACCGTCCGATTGGCATTGGAAATAAAATTGGATGGTTGGATTGACGCAGAAATTAGATTGGAAGTTGCCTAATTTTGATTCTACTTTTATGGAGTACATAATAGAGTCTGACTAATTAATTAATTCTGAAAATTCTAGAAATTAATAGACTTTTCTTTTACATCTGTTTATTTTTAAATTCAAAATCACGAAGGTTTTAAAATGAAGAAGTAACAATTTTGATTCGAATTACAATCAAGATTAAAGAAACAACCATCTGAACATGAAGTCAATTTTGAACGGAAATACCCCCTCCGTCCCAAATTATATATAATGCATGTTTACTATTCACAGGGTCAAACTTCATTCACGTTCTATCTCTATTTTCATTAGCAATTTGATAAAATAAAATATTGTTGTCGATACTAGTTTTGTAGATCTTTTGATATATTATTTTCATATGTAATTTTTATTTTTTAACTCTATACCATTTGCCATAAGAAATGATTTGAAAATAACTTCAGTCAAACATCGTAACTTGAAACAAGCGTTATAAAATAGGACGGAGGGAGTAGTACGGAGTAGTTGACCGAAAAAGTCAAAATTGAACAAATACTCTGGGACGGAGATAGTATAGAAATATTAAAATAAGAAATATAATACGGAGTAATAATAATAATAATAATAATAATAATGTAGTAATTTATTTTTTACTATCTCCGTCCTAGAGTATTTATCAACGTTCATTTTTACACACCATTCAATCCATTTCTCTAATCCATTTTATCTTTTAATTTGTATATTAAAAAATTATTGAAATTATATATTAATAATCTATATGTTAAGATAAATCAAACAAGATCACACATGACTATATTTAGGCTTACACATTGAGATAATTTGAAGAGTCAAAGTGCTTAGATGAACTGTTCCAAAAGTCAAAACTGGACGAATACTCCAGGATAGAGGTAGTATATCTATATTTGATAGGATTTAGGATGAGATAGTGATAACTGAATTGTGCAATAAGAAACTTGGGCTGAACCACATTAAAAGATTGAATTCAATCGATTAGTTAGTTCAACTCAATGGCTTATATATCGATCATTTACGGAAACACATGTAGTGCTATTTGGAGAAAGTCATTATGTTTTAGTGCTATTTACGGAAATTCCTCATAAGAAGAAGAAGAAGAAGAAGAAGAAGAAGAATAATAATAATAATAATAATAATAATAATAATAATAATAATAATAATAATAATAATAATAATAATGTAGTACTCCGTAATTTATTTTTTACTACTTCCGTCACAGAGTATTTATCCACTTTCATCTTTACACACCATTCAATGCACTTCTTTAATCCATTTTATCTTGTAATTTGTATATTAAAAAATATCCAAAACATCTGCAGAAATTTTTTATGGGGATCTAAAGTTGAATACACTAGAGCTCCACCAGTCAGTTGGGAGGAAAGTTGCAAAGCAAAGAAACATGGTGGTCTGGGATTTAAGAATCTCTGTCTCTGGAACTATGCCTGCAATCAGAAACTCCTATGGGACATTGCCAATAAAAAAGACATACTATGGGTTAAATGGATTCACAACAGATACTTGAAGAAGGAAACCATATGGAATATTTCACCTAAGCCTGGGTTTTGCTTCTATCTGAAAAGACTTCTAGCAAACAGGGAGCTATTCCACGGGATGGATGAAACGAAGGAATACGAGGTGAGTAAAGGATATGAGTGGCTAATGAAGGAAAACACCTGTGCATAAGGATACCAAATAGTGTGGAATAAACTTGCCATACCCAAGCGTCAGTTCATCCAGTGGCTAATCTGGAAAAACAGAATCCCCACTAAAGCTAGACTGAGCAGATTTATGAACATTGATACCACTTGTGTCCTTTGCAAGAATGCTATTGAAGATAGGGATCATTTGTTCTATGAATGCAGGTTCACTAAAGAGGTTCTAACTCATATTGGTCAGTGGATCAATCACAGATTTCTAGTAGGGAATGGTGAGGAATGGCAAAAGGAATATTGGAGGATTAAAGGGAGGAAGAGAAGGCAAGTGGTGGCAGCTGCGTTTGCAGCTATTTGCTACACTGTTTGGAGAGCAAGAAACAAATGGATCAAGCTACAGGAGGAGATTTCAATTGAGGACTGTTGCATGTTCATTAGATATCAACTTAAAACATATATTAATGTTAAGCTTAAATCCAACTATCTGTCATAATAGATACGTTTGAGAGTAGGCATAGAGATGATTATTGGGGTGTTGATGTACTTATAAGTGTTTGCGGTTTAATAATATGAGCATTTGTTCAAAAAAAAAAAAATTTGCATATTAAAAAATTATTGAAGTTATATATTAATAATCTATATGTTAAGATAAATCAAACATGATCAACATGACTATATTAAAGCTTACACATTGAGATAATTTGAAGAGTCAAAGTGCTTATTAGATGAACTGTTCCAAAAATCAAAACTGGACGAATACTCCGGGACGAAGGTAGTATATCTATATTTGATAGGATTTAGGACGAGATAGTGATAACTGAATTGGGCAATAAGAAACTTGGGTTGAACCACATTAAAAAATTGAATTCAATCGATTAGTTAGTTCAACTCTATAGCTTATATATCGATCATTTTGCTCTAGAAGTGATATAACTATACTATTTTATCAAATTGGCAATGAAAATAAGCAAACAAAAAGTATTTGTCCACTTTCATTTTTGCACACCATCCAATGCACTTCTTTAATTCATTTTATTTTGTAATTTGTACATTAAAAAATTATACACATTATATATTAATAATCTATATATTAAGACGAATCAAACAATATCACACATGACTATATTTAGGCTTACATTTTAAGAGAATTTGATGAGTCAAAGTGCATAGATAAACAGTTCCAAAAGTCAAAAGTAGACAAACATTCAAGAACGGACCAAATAATTTATACTCGGTATAAAATTGTGTGAGAGTGAAGAGATGAGAGTGTCTTACTTTATGTGTATAAAATTGTGTGGGACTCAAGACTCAAGAGATGAGAATGTTGTACTCTATGTGGGGAAGGAGGGAGGGGAGGGATTAGGGAGTAGTGGAGTACCACCGGAGTACATTTTAAAATTTAAAGTAAAGGTGCTAGCTTCGTAAGTTCATATGCTCCCTCCATCCCAATTTGATTATAATTTTTTTCTCTTTTTAATAACTTTTGTTTGGTTACGTGATTTAATTTCATGAACTATTTTGAAAAAATAAAATATTCTTGCTGTCATCTCTTATTTTGTAAAACTTTTGACGTAGTTTTTTTAACATGTAATTTTTATTTTTTTTTATTGATATACTGATTTGTAAATGAAGTATATTTTGATAAAATAAAATATTCTTGTCATCTCTTATTTTGTAGAATGTTTGACATAGTTTTTTCAAAATGTAATTTTTATTGATATACTGATTTGTAAATAAAATAATTTCAAAAGGCGAGATATTTCTTCTCGTAAACTCAAATTTGTAATCAAATTGGAGACGAAAGGAGTAGAGTAGAGGGAGTAGGGACTATTTAATTAACGTGACACCATGCATAGTCAGTGAATTAATATTATGAAGGAAAATGCAACATATATACTCCGTACATTTTAAATCTCTTTCAATTACTACTCGGTATTTTAAATAAATTGGATGCAACATAAATGATTCAATACAAGAACTATATAAAAATATTACTCTCCCGTCCAAATTTTGATTGCATTTTTTTTCTTTCAATAATTTTTATTTATTTGTGTATTTTCATTGTTTATTTGATAAAGTAGAATATATTTGTCATCTCTTATATTATAATATTTTTGAAGTAATTTTTAAATAAGTAATTTTATTTTTATTAATGTAACAATTTTAAATAAAACAATTCCAAAAGGTATAGGGGTTGTATTTATAATCAAATTTGGTACAAGAACATTTCATTTCAGTTGGGAGGACGGAGGACAGAGCTTGAAAATGGTTAGTTAAGTGTGGATAATCATGCTATATGTGCACGTGGGGAATTAAGTGTGAATTTAAATTTTGGCCAACTACTGTCCCTAAAAAAAAGGGAAGAAAAAATATCGGGGGAAAAAAAACGATCGACACGTGTCAGGATGGGCTGAAATATAGGTGTGTTGGGGCGGGTAAGGGTAGGAGTAAGATTGAACCAAAGAGAGGGGAATGAAAAATGGACGGTGGATGCAATGGGATGTTGGATAATGGACGGTGGAGGATCGCGATCCGCGTGATGCTGACGAGGATCATCATGGTTTGGTTTTCTTTGGTGACGGGGATCGTGGTTTGGTTTTCTTTGAGCTGGCAACATCTGAGCCGATGGCTTAGTATATATACAGTACAAAAGAGATTTTTGGGGCACACGCGCCCGGCCAACTCAGCAAGCAAGCCATCCCCACCATCCAATCAAATCAAATCAATCATTCAAATTCTTCATCTGAGAGACTGACTATGGAAGGCGCCCCAGATGATAAGGCTTCCGCCTCCGATTCCACCCCGACGCCAATTTCCGGCGCTGCCGCCGCCTCCGCCGCTGATGGAAGTGCAGGCTCTGATGAAATTCTCAATAACTCCTCCTACGCGGCAGTGGCCGCCCCCCGAAGGGGAATTGCTTACCACCGGGGGCAATTTCTCCGGTGGAAGACGGCGTCCTCAACTACTACTGGTGTTTCAGAGATTAGTTTCTCAGGATTTTCTTCATACAGACGGTATGCCTCTAATTTTATTTATCTACTGTATATAAAATCATGGAATAGTATAAAAATGCCTTCTTGCACGTGCAGTGATGACGATACATGGAAGGAGATACTCTGTGAAAATTTCGATGTGGTATCTACGCCGGCGCAGGGCCCTCTTGACATACTTCTAAAATTGGCCTTGCTGCCCGCCACTTCCCCTGCCGCCGCCGCCGCTGCGGCCGCCGCCTCCCTGGAGACACTGGGAGACACTCTAGCGGACGAGTTGGAATCCAAGAAGGCCCTGTTCTACGGAAATGCAGAGGGCGACTATCGCGGGCCTCCATTGAATATGTGTGCTGCTCTAATCCTTTCATCATCTTCCTCAAGGGACTTGTTGGCCTCATCTCTAGGTGAGGCCACATTGGTCTTGCTCTCAAAATGTCTCAACTGGAGGCTTCTTGTTGCGGGGGAAGTGGCTGTGAGAGTCTTGCAAATGCTAAACTGGCCTGCCGGCGAATCCATCTTATATAATTTCATCTTGTACGCCGGAAAACGAGTGGTACAATCCGGCGATGGTAAGGAGGCCGCCGCCGCAGCATGTGCAGAGATTCTTCCCAATCTGACTGATTTCCTCATCGGCGAACTACCCAAAGCTACTTACATCCACCATGCCCTAGAGGCACTCCACACACTCTCCACAGAGAACATTTACTACAAGTCCCACTCCAATACCCTTTTCCGATCTCCAAATCACCTGCTCTACGTCTTGAGGGTCCTCTCAAAGACCTCATTCAGGCGGGACCTAGACTATGCTTCTCGCTTCAAGATACATGAGGTGACCCAGCCTTTTCTGCCGGTCATCAATGCTGACCCAGAAGCTTCAGCCCAGCTTTTGGACGACTTGTGCCTCACGCTGCTCACCAGGAGACCAAATTAAAAAAGGCTGCTTCTGNGCTTCTGGGCTTAATCCTGGACGACTACTAGTATGGAGTTTTTTTCTTTTCTCTCTTTTCTTTTTTGTTTTTCTCTTTTCAACAAAAAAAAAAAAACATCTTTTCAAAAAAAAAAAAAAGAAAAAGAAAGAGAGCTAGTTACTGCTAGTAGCTTGGGTATGCTTATACCAAAAAAAAGTCTTGTACATACATACTTACACATAAATAGATACTACTCTGCCATTCAGCTCTCCTCTTCCGATTATGTTCCTTTTAGAATTGGACCCATGTCTTAGCATTTGACTTTGAATGGTATGTTACCATAATGCAATGCTATAAATTGGATATCCATTTTTGTTTTAAAAAACTAGAACTTGTATTTTTACAAGTGTATTTCCAACTTTTAGGAAAAGTTTAAATCGGCTAAATTGATAGGGAAAGGAAAACAAGTGTAATGAAAGTCATGTCCTCATGTTTCTCTGTTTGGAGAATCCACACTTGAGTTGGAACATATTAGGCTTGTTTTGGTTTAGGTTGGCAAATAGATATAGTACCTGTTAATCCTTCAAAAGAGTGATATTGCATATATATATATTAGTACTGTAAATAGATATTGCATGAATAATGGTGTCGTGTATGTATGAAAGCCAAATTGGATGCTGATGTATGGCTGTACATATAGAGTTGTATGTCGAACAACAAATTAAAGACATATTTAAGGACAGATGTGCTGCATAAGTTCATTCTATCTTGATCCAATAATATTTCCAATATAAAGTATTAAGGTTGCTTAGAAAAATACATTAAAGTGGGAAATAGCTCAAAATATCTTGGACTACCTAGCGTACGCAATGCATCTCATCATTCATTAATAGCAGTAGACCATGGATTTGAATGTTAATGTGAGGGTAATATAATGCAATTCAGCATCCTCTTTTGCATGTTTATTCATATAAATGTTCAACAACAACAACGGCCCAGTATAATCCCAAATCCCTTGGGATCTTGGGGTCAAGATATACGCGGTCTTACCCTTGTAAAGTACGGAGAGAATGTTCCGTTAGACCCTTGATGCATTGCTGCATCTGCTGCCCAAAACTTCATTGAAAATAAGAAGTAATGGAAGTTTGATGTGCCATTTTGATTTAGTCCATTATGTACACGAAACTAAAACATTGCCAATTACGACTATCTTAGCTCCATTTGCAACGAGCATGATACATATGGGTTTAAGTTGCTGATTTTTTTCTACATCCAGATCCATCTTTCTTGTGTTGGTAACGGTGTTTGTTTGTCAATCTTGCTTCCTTCTATCTCTGTGGAATTCCCATTGCTGCATCACTGGCCGCACCATTATGGACCCTTGCGTTGAGCACCTTAACTCTTCAAAACCAATCTTTCGAGCCTTTTATCTTTTATATGGTTTTATTGAGCCATGAACTTTGTGCTTTTTGCAACTATAAATGCACAAGAAGCACAACCTAAACGAACTTTACAAACAATTATTGGCTTTTATCTTTGAAGGTCCTACTCTACTCTGTTCAACGCCAAAGTGATTCCTACCCTTTTCACCCCCCCTTCCCCTATGTGGGAGACAATAATTTAACATGGATTGTCTCTCGCCGAGGGGAGGGAGGGCTTAAGAGGCAGGGGATGTGGGAATCACTTCGCGTTCGAAAGAGCACTGAAGGAGCCTCAAAAAGACTGGTGGTGCTATATTATGAACTGGCTCATGGTCTCAAAAGAACTGGACTCTAGTCACTTTTCCAGATTATTCACAAATTTTTTTGTTCTTATTTATTTTCTGTAGTCTTGAATGGTGGTCATTTGAGCTAATTGTGTTACTGTCTGGTCTACTACCGAATCCACAGCTAGAAACCTCAGTTCTATCTGTATGGTACGTTCTGCTTCAATATTACCAATAGTTCATGGAAGTTGCTAATTTGTGTATAAAACTCATCATCATCACTAATGGTTTTGTTTGGCACAACCTGAACACTGTGAGCACACTTTATGCGATTCCACATGGGCTTTCTGGTGCAGTAAGGTTTTCCATAGTTTTGTCATATATTCAAGCCACACAGCTCCTTTGTTTTTTTTTTTTTTTACCAAATTCATTTTTGAGATGAAAAAATAAAAAGTTGTGTGCCTCTGCTTAATAAAATCCATGGTTGCGTTGGGGTCACACCGCAAATTATTAGATGTACTGATTTGACGGCATATATAGGTGTTGCTAGGAGATGCGGGTGGCAGCACATAGGAGCATATGTCAATCTTGCTTCCTTTTATCTGTATGGAATTCCCATTGCTGCATCACTGGCCTTCTGGTTTAACTTCAGAGGGAAGGGTCTTTGGATTGGAGTCCTCTGTGGTGCCTCTCTGCAATCATTTTTGCTCTCTATAATCACAAGTTGCACTCATTGGAATAACCAGGTACACAAATCACATTCTTGCAATTCTTTTGGGAGCTTAGGGCTTGTTTGGTGAGCATAAGGTAGGGAGGGATGACTAGCATTTTTCCATCTCTTTAGCTTCATTCGTGTATCTCAATTGACCTTCAGATTTATTTTTACCTTTATTTATTTATTCTAGTCACTTTCACTTACTACGGAGTCATGTTCTACATATATATAGAGTTTTTTTAATAGACAGTAATATTTATTTTGAGTGCTAATGTTTGTGTTGCAGGCTGCAGCCAAGGCGGGACGGAGAGTTCTTGAGTAAAAATATTCTCAAGTGAATGAGAACTCAAACAAATGACTGTCTTTGAGGGGGTGTATGCCCTTATGATTTCTATGTAGGTGGAGAGTGAGGGATATAAGATCATTGTAATATTGTATGCATGAATTAAGCTAGGGTCACCCCAAGTTTAACCTCTCACCTTTACACAGAGACATTACCACCTTCTATCTCTGTGGAATTCCCATTGCTGCATCTCTGGCCTTCTGGTTTAACTTGAGAGGGAAGGGTCTTTGGATTGGAGTCCTCTGTGGTGCCTCTCTGCAACCTTTTTTGCTCTCTATAATCACAAGTTGCACTCATTGGGAAATCAAGATTGCCATTCCATCTGCTATCATGATTTGGTAATCCTCAATGCCGCACCATTATGGACCCTTGGTTTGAGCACCTTAACTCTTCAAAACCAATCTTTCGAGCCTTTTATCTTTTATCTGGCAGAGTAAATGCTTAATTGTCTTTCCCCCCCCCCAAACCCCCGTACTGTGTTAATGGTTTTGCTGTGCAACCCACATTTTTGGTCACTTTTTCAGCAAGGGATGGCTTTGTTTCATATTGGAAATGCTGAAATCTCTCCAATATTGTTATTGTTGATTATTTCCAACTGATGTATATAAGACATTTGGTACATGTGCTTGTTCAACAACCATAACTGATAGCCGTACAATTAGGCTTGGATGGAAGAGTTTGTAATGGATCACCACGATAATAATGTATACTCACCCTAAGTTACTGATTATTCAGCTTGGCTAAGAAGATAATCTCTATATTCCTTAGGGTGGTTCGTTTGGAACTTGGAAAAGGCTAGGGAAAGAAAATAGGGAGGAAAATATGGAAGGAGAAAAAAAATTAAACTCAAAATTAAGATATTTGGCTATTTATATACTTCTACTATATGAAGATTAACAAAATAAAGAATGTGTGAAACATGTAAAAGTTTTAAGTAAATGTGAATTGTCTTTCTGCATTCCAAGGTAAGTCCACCACTGAAATTCTAAAAAAAAAAAATTCCACCTGTCTTTTTCATTTGGTCTACTATTTTTTTATTTCCAACCTAGCATTACACTCTATTAGTTTTCCCTGCACTGTCATTAGGATTACATGATGCGTTTTGCTGAATTAGGGCTACTTTTTAGACATCTGCTTTGGAACCTGTGCAATTACTTGCTTCATTTTCTGGTATTCTTCTGTGTAGATGCTGTTGAGAGGTTCCATATTTCGGCATTTCTCCTGTTTGTTTTAGCTCAAAATATACTGGAGGCGGAAGGACCTTGGCTTCAAAGTTTCATTTATGTGACTCTCTATCTCTCTCACCCCTTCCCCCTTTTGAGTGCAGAATGCCCTTGTTGTGTACATATGTGAAATGATGATTGATATAATTAAACATTCTTTTGTTGGCAAATTCAACAACATCAAGCCCATGGCATTTTCAGAATTTCTTGAGGATCTTTGCAAGCAGGTACTACAGTCTACAGGATGATGATCATAATGATTTCTTGTCTTTCTCTCAAACAATAATAAAAGTGAGTATGCAGACTTGCCAAATTGGTGCCATGAATTCATTTAAAATCTATTATCTTTACTTTTGATACAGACATGGAACCAGCCTGAGAGTGCAAAGAATAACCTGGTTTTCATTCCTCTAGCGCCAGCTTGCGTGGTATGATCTTGTTCTCATCCATAGATTCCAGAGTACATTTCAGTCCATTGACTAGAGGGGTAACGGTGAGGTTGGAACAAATAGACCTTTCCAAATCTACCACTCCCACCGCTCCTTCATCCTTTGTGGTTGGAGCAAGGGAAGTTTAAGGGCTTGTACAGATATAATTTTTTTAGAACAACCCAGTAAAATTAGGCAAAAAGAAAATCATGCATTTCCTGCTTTATTATTATGGAACTCGAGATCCTGAAATTTCCATACTGAGTATGAAACAAACTGTCATATAAAAAAACATATATGCAGGTAATTCGAGTGCTGCGTCCAGTTTATGCAGCTCATCTTCCGTACAGTCCCCTCTCTTGGCGGGTATTTTGGATTCTCCTCTTGTCGGCATTGACCTTTGTCATGCTAGCCAGCCTCAAGATATTGGTCGGAATGGGGTTGAAGAAACACGCGGGTTGGTATATAAAGAGGTGCCAGAGAAGGAAAAAACTCCACAGTGACTGAAGAAAGATAATTTCTCACTGTTACATGGAAAAATCACTCTTAAGACGAGAAATGCCTCTTCGTGTGCCTAACCATACATGTGATGAAAGCTTTCGGGAAGTTTTTCTTGCAAACCCAATGGCAAAAGGTTCTTATATTGCTTCAAATTTTGCGTTCGGGGCGAAATCCAACCGTGACTTGTGAATACACACACGCGCGCCGACACGCAAATGAGTCGTATAGAGAATGCTTCGAATGGATTGGGAAACATTTTTGTGTGGCAAGTTATAGTGCAATGTGAACAGGTTTACACAGATACTATGAGAGACTTCTTCAGTTTCAACTTATTCCTAGGGAGTAAAGATGATGTTTAACTTTTTTTTAAAGGAGGGAATATATTCTAAACAATGTTAGAGATATATTTAGATCTAAACTTGTTCAATTTTGGATATTTTAAATGTAGAGGTACTTTTATAACCCTTTGCATGATTCAAAAATGCATATTCCTCATGATTTGGGAACACGTGGAAGCAAATGGGAGATTCACCGGTGTCTTGAAAGTTGAAACCACGAACATGAAGAATAATATATGGATCGGATGTGAGTTACTTTGTTTTGTCTCTCTCGCATGGTATTACTAATACTTTTTTCTATAATTGGTCTTTTATAATAATAATTTTTTATTTACTATTCTATTATCAAATTTTCATTCATATTTTTTTAACTTTCTATCATATTGGTGTTAAATCATGACTAAAAATATAATTTTACAATGATCATATATCTTTTTTGTTGGAGCCAATGTTAGAGGTCGTCGTTGATGCATCGTTTGTCAACTTAAGTCGTTGTCTACTACAACAACGGTCTACAAATGTCGTCTTTAGTCGGAATCCTAGTCCACAACCAGGGGCGGATCTACTTGAGGCATTATGGGGGCAGCTGCCCCCAGTGATTTAATTTTTTTTAATAATTTTTTTTATAGTTTTACTAGTAGTATATGATATGCCCCCATTCAAAATTAGATACTGCCCCAGTGGCCCAATTCATTCCAAATAATGTGTAGCCCAAGTGCCCAACTCAAATATCCAATTGTCCAAAGCCCAATTATTAAAAGAATACTCCCTATTTCCATTGAATTTTTATCGGTAGAGCACACTGGCCACTGCACATGCCACAATCGATTTTTCCTTTGTGCTTTGCAGCCTTTGCGACTGGCGACTGGCTACGAAAGGGGCGACTAACGGCGATTGGCGAATCATTCCGGGATTTTGGTCTAGATTTCTAGGTATTATGATTTTTTACCTTTGTCAATTGTGATCTAATGAATTATATAAATCTAAAAATTAGGTTTATGTGATTATGTCATTATGTGTGATTTTTTTGTGTTTTGATTTAACTTTTTATTTTCTATGAAATGAAATTGTTTAATTTCTTGCTTTCTTATGTTTATTATTATTATTATCATAAAACATTAGAATTGATTACCCTGAAAAGACATTATTTAATTTGTCAATTGATATACTTTAAAATAATTTATTGCAATTTTTGTTTTAAACTTTCTAAAAAAGTTTATTGTATTATTTTTTTATGATAATGGAGAAGTTTTTTAAACGAAAAACTCCATCGACACCCGATTCTGGACCATCTGCACCTTCATTGCCTAAAGAAATTAATTTAAGTGATCTTCCGTGAGATCCTTTGAAAAGAAAAAGAATTTTAGATTATCACCCCTAATGAAAGAGATGAAATAAGAAGAAGATTTTTTATTAGAAGATCATGTCAACCACGTGGCCATGATTTTTGAATGCTTGTGTGATTTGTGCGGTGGAAAAGGAAGCATTCTTAAATGTTACAAATGAAAAATAATTGATCGCTTTCAAAAAATAAAAACTCGAAGAGAATAATTATAAGAGGTATGTTCTATCTATTTAATTGTACTTTGTTTTTTAATTTATTTTTAATGGTAAGAAGTATGTTCTATCAATTGAATTGTCTCTTTTTCTTTAACTTAATTTTTTTCAATTTAATTTACTTAATGCCCCCACTGGAAAAAATTCCTGGATCCGCCACTGTCCACAACTGTAGTCATTAATCATTATTATGTTGTCCGTGAAGCCGACATCAAGAAACAACGCCATTGGAGATATGATCGATGCAAAATTACATTTTTAGATCTCAATTTAACACTTAATGATAGAAGATCAAAAAAGAATTATCTGTAGAGAAGTACTCATAAAAAAGGACCAAAAATATTATATAAAATATTTGATAATAAAGAACTAAATATAAAAAAATGTCCGTTATAAAAGACCAATCATAAAATTTACTCATTTTTCTCTTAGTGTTTTCATTTTTTTCATGAAAGAAGATCCGTGCATTTTTAGACGCTTTTGGATATACTCCGTATATAATTGTAGAAACACATTGCCTTTATATTGATCAAAATTCCATATTTTCGGAGAATATTTCTTGGGAATTATTTTCGTAGGATTAAAACAATCAAACTTACTCAATAGTCAATACTCGTATATTTGTTTTTCGGTTTATATAAATTTGTTTGGTGAAATTATGAAAATACCAAATTGTCCCTCGTATTGGACGTGCTCGAAAAGGTAAAATTTTGCTAATTATAACCGTGGCGCTTAGACTTAACCTACCAAAAGACTGCCGACAAAGTGTCCGAACAGCCTGTTTATTTCTTTATTGTAATCCTTAAAATTATTTAATCCTCTTATCTTCTGTTATTTATTTTTATAATTCTTTAAAAAATTGCTGAAAGATGAAAAAATAATTGTGGAGAAGATAATTTATTTTTTTCCATATAGAAAAGTTAAATCTACGATAGGGACTATTTTATAATTTTTAAAATATAGAGACTATTTACCTATCTATGAAATATCACCGAGAATATTTATGCATATAACTTCACATATAATTACATATTCCCTTTTTGGTTCATACAACAAAGGGGTTCCACTATTTTTATTTTTAAAAAGTTTGCATAATTTATAATTCGTACAACTTTTACCATGTATTTTTTAATCTTCCTGCCAAGTCAAACATTAAACATTTTTGAAAAACATAGGAAGATTTGTTTAAATACTTCCATCATAAATCTTTTCTCCTTTGAAATGTATTATGGGACAATGTTAAATACGGAGTACTATCTCTTCTATAGAGTATTTGTTCAATTTTTGATATTTTACCAGTCAAAATTAATAAATCTTAAGCATTAATCAAATAATCGTTATATAAGATATTGATACAAGAGTAATTTTATTAAATCTATCTTATAAAATATTTTCAAAATATTGTTTTATAAAACTAATATAGCATATATTTTTTATTCAAGTATATATTTACTCTCCTGCGAAGCACGAGTAAAAATAGAACGGGACGCCACATAGAAGAGAGAAGACATGTTGACGCTCTGGTTAGACTTGCTCAAAGTTTCACATGTGAAATGTGGATCTTCTTACATTTTTTATAAATCTACAAGTGGGTCTTTTTCATTATTATAAAGAACTTAACTCTTATGTGGTACGAAGTATTCGTATACTAAAATACATAAAAAGAGTATGAATCCAAATAACCATAATAATTTGCCATCAATAAAATACTCTGTAAAAATAATTAAATAAAGAATAAGCTCAATTTTTTTTAAGAAAAAAAATGTTCGAAGGCAGAATCAATAAACATATGAGATAAGTTTTCAAAGCTAATTTAGGCAAAATAATATTCCTTGTATTTCAAACACCTTGCAGTTCAACAGTATTGCTCTGTAAGTCCTATAATACTTGGGCCGATGCCCATCGGCCCAATGGTTCACGCTCTTGGGTCTGAGCCCATTTACAGTGTTCGCCTTTCTCCTTTCGTGCGGACGAAGCTTTCAACTTCTAATTCCGACGAAAATCGATCGATCTTCATCAAAACCTACTGAAGAAGAAGAAGAAGATTTGCAGAGAGATGGATGCATCGAAGACGATTCCTCACGAAATCGGCGGAGTGAGAAGCGACGCGCTCCGATTCGGACTCCACGGCGTCAAGAGCGACATCGTCGGCTCTCATCCTCTCGAATCCGCCTATGAAGAGGTATTCTCTTCTTCTTCTTCTTCTTCTTCTCATCTCCCATCTGTTCGTTCATGATTTATTCCCGTTGATTCGTTATGTTTATGTGTAATTTTGAGTAGAATAAGGCGATTCAGGAGAGGATGAAGAGAACGGTCCTTGCCAACACTTACGGCTTTGCTTTGCCCACGAGGATGGAGATGGACCGCCAAATTCTCTCCAGGTATGAAATGGATGACTATGAATCTTTGATCTGATTTCTGATCACTTTCCCATGAGTTCCATAGCATTTACTAATGACTACCTCCATCCAATAGAAGATTGTTCTACTTTTTCGAGTTGCACTTTATTCACTAAGTACATAAGAATTACATTGCCGGAATAAAATATTTTTGTAAACTTTTTCTATAAGATAAATCTAATGATATCATTTTTGTACTACTATGGAATGCAATTTTTATCTACTCTGTTATCAAAGTTTGTCTTGTTTGACTCGCAAAAATCAAACTTGACAAGTACTCTAGAAAAGAGGTACTAATTTGCTAGGTTTGAGCTTTTTTTTAAAAATAAAATATTGTTGGGTATTCTAATTGGGTGCTGATTGGGAGTATGCTTTGGGTTAAGTGATTATAGGGATTAGTTGGGGGCACTAAAAGAAGCAGAATGCTATTGTTGAATAAGTGGATGCCTTTAAGCATATCCTGTTTAGTTTGGACTTTATTCTGGTTGGTTGAAATCGTGCATTCTTTTCAATATCAGTAATCAATACTCTTAGGTTTGTATGTTTTGTGATTCAGGGACTTGTATTGAGTGCTAAGTGATCGAAATTATTTACAGAATGCCAAATTAGATTGCTGATGTATGGCTGTACGTATAGAGTTGTATGTCGAAAAACAAATTAAAGACATATTTAAGGGCAGATGTGCTGCATAAGTTTATTCTATTTTGATCCAATTATATTTCCAATATAAATAAAATATTAAGGTTGCTTAGAAAAATACATTAAAGTGGAAAATAGCTCAATAAAACTTGGACTACCAAGTGTACGCAATGCATTTCATCATTCATTTATAGCAGTAGACCATGGATTTGAATGTTAATGTGAGGTCAATATTATGCGATTCATTATCCTCTTTTGCATGTTTATTCATATACATGTACAACAACAACAGCCCAGTATAATCCCAAATTCTTTCAGATCTTGGGGTCAAGATGTACATGGTCTTACCCTTGCAATATACTGAGAGAATGTTCTGTTAGACCCTTGATGCATTGCTGCATTTGGCATTTGCTACCCAAAATGTCATTGAAAATATGAAGTAATGGAAGTTTGATGTGTCATTTTGATTTAGTCCATTATGTACACGAAACTAAAATATTGTCAATTACGACTATTTTAGCTCCATTTGCAATGAACATGATTCATATGGGTTTAAATTGCTGATTTTTTTCTACCTCCAGATCCATGTTTCTTCCATGCTTCTTCTGTTGGTAACGGTGTTTGTCACTTTTTATTTAGAAATTGTGTTATTTTTCCCTTATTGAGAAGAGGCAGTGAGGAGACCTTCTTTATGTTTTCCAAATGCAAATTCCATGGAATTGTGATCTACTGATCTATGTTTGAAACATTATGTCATTTCACCCTATTTTCATTGCTGAATTACTCTGATATACACAGATTTCAAATTTTTTAGTGATTGCTTGTAGGTTTCAGAGGCCTGTTGGAGCAATACCATCTTCCATGTTAGGGTTAGAAGCAATGACAGGAGGTCTAGAAGACTTTGGTTTTGAGGACTACTTAAATGGTACGGAGTATTATGAATGAAATTCAGTTTTCTTCAATGAATCCATTTTTTGTGCTGGTAGGATCTTTCTCAATCTTCTTCTAATCAAGACCTTGACCTCACTAAGACACAACCCTAGTTTCCAAAGCCATTTGAGATGATCGGCCTCAAGGCAGTGATGCTTGAAGGCGGCAGATTTAAGCTTCATGTTGGCATTTCGATGCTTTGTCCTTTGTGGATGATGTGTATCTGGGTGTATGAGGTGCAAGGCTTAAGCCTTAGACTTTTTTCATGATTTTATGAAAATTCTTAAAAGCTATCGGGCCTAAACATTTATATTGGCTCCGTTTGGCATTAACTTCAGCATTTTGAAAATAATATCCAATAGTAGCTTTTAGCATTAACATTTTCAATGTTAATATAAAAAATTATCCTATATACTAACGTTAATCACGAATGTTTTTTTCAAAACGAAGCCATTATTTCTTTGCTTCATCTTTGGCCTTTCTACCAGTAAGAAGTAAATAGTAAAAAGCGTAGGTTTATATTAGTAATTTTACTTACTGCATATAGTCATATACACATGCAGTAAGGGAGTACTACTATACTCCGGGATTTCACGGTGTGAGTTATGCATTTTATTGTACGGAGTATTACTTTATTTCAATTAGTGCCCCCCTCTACCTTCACCCCCCACCCCTTTGCGATTAGTGAATTACTCTATATATGGTTGATATATAATATGTTTCTTGCTGGATTTTTGCAGATCCCAAAGAATCAGAGAGCGCACGCCCAGCTAACATGCATCACGGCATGGAAGTGAGACTTGGGCTGTCCAAAGGACCAGTTTGCCCCAATTTCATTTGAACTGTTCTGTT